CGTTTTGTAAACCTCGGGCCATCTGCTGTAAGCGTCGACGACGACCAAGTAGTAGAAGTTGTTGATGGGACCGGCAAAATCGATGTGGATGCGTTTCCATGGTCCGCTCGGTTGTGGCCATGCTCGGAGTGTGCATTTGATTTGCGATTTTAAAACAACAGCGCATTCTTCGCAATGCCTGACGAAGTTCTCAATGTCTCGAGCGATGCCATGCCAGAAGAGTTGACTGCGAGCAAGCAGTTGCATGCGTGATATTCCTGGGTGGCCGTTGTGGAGCTCTTGAAGAATTTTCTCGGGATACTGCTGTGGGATGAAGATTCTGTCTCGTGCAAAAATGCAATCCTCGATGATTATCAACTCGTTTCGTTGGTCGAAAAATGCCGCGACTTCTGGATTGATGATCTGACATCGTTTCATGGGCCAGCCGTTGCGTGTGTATTGAATCACTTGTTGAAGTGCCTGGCTGTCGCGTGTTGCCTGCTGGATATCGTTGAAATTCACCGGAAGCTGTTTTGCTGTGTCGATGGCAAAGCATGATAACGAATCGTCATTGCAGATAGCTGCAATGACTGTATCCTCTTCCGGCTTCGAGTGCGATGCGATGAGACGAGAGATAAAGTCTGCGTAGCCAAAGCTCTCGGTGTCCATGTAGCGAATCTTGAAGTCATAAGCGAGGAGTGTGAGGGCGTAGCATTGCAGTCGGCTTGCTGTGTGGACCGGGATGCCATTTTTTGAGCCGAAGATTGCGAGGAGCGGCTTGTGGTCGGTCTGGAGCTCGAAATGTCTGCCGTAGATGTACTTGTGGAATTTCTTGACAGCAAAAGTAAGCGCCAAAGCTTCGCGCTGGACCTGTGGGTAGCCTCGCTCGGCCGAGTTGAGTGAAGTTGCTGCGTAAAAGATCGGATGAAGTGTTCCGTCTTGAAATTCATGCATCAAGACAGCACCAATTCCGTAGCTTGAAGCATCGGCTGCGACTACAATTTTCTTTTTCGGGTCGTAATGCGTGAGGACCAGGTCAGACATCAGCAGTTCCCGAAGTTGTTGGAACGCTCGTTTTTGTTCCTCCCCCCAGACGAACTTGATTTCTTTCCTGAGAAGCTCGTCGAGTGGGCCTCGTAAGTCCTTCATGTCGGCGATGAACTTTGCGTAGTAGTTGATTGCGCCGAGGAAAACTCGTGTTGAGTGGACGTCTGTTGGCCGTGGAATATTTTTGATGGTCTTAATGTTCTTAGGATCTGGACGGATGCCTTTTGCGTCAACAATGTATCCACAGAAGGGGATTGATGTGCGAGCGAATGAACACTTCTCAATGCGGAGCTTGAGACCGTAGTCTTGAATGCGGCTGAGTGTTTCGTTGAG